CACTGTACGTGTTTATATTACCCTTTGCATGTACGTGAAGCTTAATTTAAGCACAATATGCTAGCAAGAAGAAGAGTTGAACTTATGTTTTTATTGGTCAGTGTTTTGTATATTCACCCCAGCTTTCCATTTTTGAACTTAAGTTGTCCAGTCTTTACCTCTGCTAAGATTACCTGTCCCAGTCCACGGTGAAACATACACTATAAGCAGGCAAATAATCTGGCATGTCACAACAACATAGGAAAAAACCCCAATAAAGCTAGCTATCCTGCAGGCAAAGGAAGACCTCTGAACCACTCAAATTCTTGTCTCCATTTCTGAAGAGAGTTTATATGGGACTTGCATCTGCATATTTTTAACTTACGGTAATGCCTTTGTAAACTCAGGAATAAAACCGTGAAATAAGCTGTATTGGTAAGAATCCTTTATTGCAGAACCAGCTGGCTCAGTCTGCAATCTTGTACCAATATATTTAATTCATCTTCAACCACTGCTTGCTTTTCCATAACTCATTAATATCTCGTGGCAGTACCAACCTCTACATACACCAGCCCAATCTTGATGGGGGGCATTCCATACTCCCACTTTTTCAGGGAAGTAACTCCCCTCGAAAAACTGCAAGCTGTCTGGAAATACAGCCAGCTGGCAGACTGTTAAACTCATTGTTTATTGTATGGTTGCCTGCTCCTGATGAGCTCAGGTTAATGAACTGGCAGCTCTGAGGGGCAGTGACTGTTGGCAACAATAGTTCAAGTCTTTGGAGCTTAAACTCATCTTAACCCCCAAATTTCAACATTGCCTAAACTAACAAGCAATATCCTAACAAACAAAGAAGAACTGCAAGACATTTTGAATACTTAGGAATGGATAGATACATGTTTGTAATTACACAGTACCTGTAGACAATGCAATTCCTCTAGGTATCGTGTACCTCGTTCTGGTATCCACCCACAAGCAGGAGGGGTCCGTAAACAGAAATGTTTCTCAGAAGCCCTACATGACCTACCTCCAGGAGAGTTTACAAAGCACAGGGCAGCACCAGAGACACCTGTGCCAGCTCTCAGCAGGCTGGTGTGGGTGCTGGAGTTGGCGTTCCTGTATCTATGCAGCGCTCCGACAGTGTTACCCTGCTCAGGCAATGCCCTTGTTAAGGTACCACCCCATCATGCTTTGACATGGGAGCAAAGCTTGGATGATGCTCTCTGAAGAATAGCAGACAAAGGAATAATAATAATTAAAAAATGATGATTAGCACATTAAATACACTGTCATAGGACATAGGGACCCCAGTCCTAAACCATATAGCATGAACTAATGTTGCAAGTGAAAGCAAAAGGATGGTCCCTCCCCTGTAAACGTACCATTCAAGTACACGAGAAGAGAGGGGGATTCAGATGTTCTGGTGGTAGCATGAAAAACCCCAAGCGATGGGGGTTGTGTGACAGGCAACAGCCTCAGCGTGCTGGAAGCTTACCATCATCAAGGCTTTTGCAGGAGAGAGGGAGTTTTGACAATGGGTCAAACAGTGGTACTGAATAATCATTTATTCTGAAAGTGATGAAGGGAGCTTCCCCTAACTGAAGGAGGCACGGAAGGAGGCCCGAAGCTGCAGCTTTGAAAACAACGCGGCAAAAGAACAAGCTTAGGCTGTAGGACACCAATGTGGCCTGAGAAGGGCTTCGGAAGTAAAAGCAGACAGGTAAAAGCAGATAAGTGAAAGCATCTCGGGATGACAGAAGAGAGGAAGCCAGTGAACAGAGCTGGGGATGGGGGATGCTTAATGGTGAGGGGAATTCACTCCTGGAACCAGTCACCAACAGCTGACGTGGATTTTTTCTTTGCTTAATGTTTTGCAAATCGGGTTGGTTATTTGTTCTAACACACGTAGTTTTTAGAAACTTTAGCTTTTACTATTATCAAACGCACAGTTCAGAGGTGCACAGAGTGCAGCTCAAACTGAGCTGCGAGATCAGTGAACCTGCATGGCTTGTGCTGCCACGCTCATCACGACGGCATGCAGATGTGGCCGCACAGCACTGAGGAGTCATCATCCCGACACGAGGCATCCTCCTCTCTGCTTCTCTCTCTCCCTGCAGAACCTCCGACTGTCCCCTTCACTGCGAGGATTGCCATGTGCCAAAACACACACTCCCCCAACCATGAGACGGGCACACGGCTGATCCCACACACATGCACCAGCCTGCAGGTGAGGGCTGCTGGTGAACCCTGTCCAGCAGGTTGGACGAGGCTGAAAGCTTAGGCAAACAGCAATAGCCTGCTGGCTTTACAGCATATTACAAAGTCATTGCCAAAGATGGCTTTGTACAGTCTGTTTCTTGCTTGCCTCACCACCTCTATTTTTTTTATTTCCTTAACAAACTCCTGTATTGCAAAGCATTCAAGCAGGAAAGTGAGTTCTGTGGTGGACGAGGTTTTAATCATTGCCTTTTACAAGCACAGACTGCTGGTTTTGCTCAATTTTTGTCATACAGACTATGTTAAAAAGGCAACACAGGCAAAAAAGAACCACCAACCCAACAACCACCCCACCTAAAAAACAGACAACTGACCACACATCATACTTCTGAACTTAGCTGCTAAGTTTATAAATCCTGCAGGTACAATCCTGCCTCTGAAGCACTGGAGATCCAAGTAAGGTATTGAAAATGTTTCAGCGTCCTCTCTTTCACCTTGTGATAGAGGAGACGAGGTATGAAAGTTCAGAGGAGACAGCAGCAGAACATTAATATTTTGAAAAACCTGTCTTTTTTCCTTCAACTTTTGCTTTGCTGGAAAATGGTGGTTGATTTAACAGTAACATTATAGATCCAAATTTACTAATTTTTAATATGTTTAGAAAGACAAACATAACTTTGCAGGGTCAACAAAATCTACATTTTTTACCAGTTTTTGTAAATAGGTAATTTAACTTTGATAGTGCAACCAGGACTAGGGAAAAACTGTGGTCTTGCAGGGCAACAGCATAGTCTTCACTGCCAACAGACCCAAATCATCCGCCTGACTAAATGAATACGACAGAGGCTTTAGCTCCCAAAATGATTTCCAGTAAATCCACCCATGAAAAGAGCTCCTTTGGGTCTCACAGTAAATCACAATTTCATAATTTAACTCATGTCAAACAGTAACAAACTGATTATTGCTTCTACACCAATGCAATAGATTGACAAGAATCAGAAATGGGGAACACAAGTTTGGAATGTGCGTATCAAATGTCATGTAGTGATCTTTTTATTAATATTTCTCCTATATTAAAGAGATCAGACTGATGTTTTACACATGTTCCAAAAAGGCTGTGGTTTATGCATACCTGTCTGCTGTTATTTTAAGCTACCAAGAACAATGCCAGCAGTTCAGCCAGCAGATCTGATGATACACTCCATGTACCAATTGGACTGTCAGACTGTTATGCATGTTTTATTTCAAAAGACTCAAGCCCTTCCAAGCTCCATTTTTTACCACTGCCTCACACTTCCCTTTAGAGAGGATGATACATTCTGTAAAACCACCTTTAAATGAAGAAATTAGCACAGCCAGTTTTCCTGAATCATTTCTTTTGATAAACCTTATAATTCCTTTGGTACTGGGTTAAGTATTTTGCTGATGATTTTGGCTGGTAAGGACAGTATATACACTATGGTGTAATTGAGGGTCAGATTAACCAAAATCAAAATGCAAAACAGAAGCTAGGCATTTCCATATTAAATACAGAAACGCAGACAATGCTACATCTATATGTCAGTTTGCTGGTCTGTTTACCGTGGTGGATAATGTTTCAACTCTAACTCACACTTATCTCTCCCCCAGAATACATTTTGTTTTCCCAAACACTGTGTAAGTATGTGGGGCATACTCTTCCAAATATCTTGCAAGTAGGCAAATTGTAATACGTCAGAGAACATTAGGGAAAAAACCCAAAGATGCAGACAGCTATATGGTTTTATACACGTCCCAGAAAAATAATACAGCACAAAAAAACCAAACAGTATGGATTTCTACCTAATTTGGAAAGCAATTTTTCTTAAACAGGATGCCAGCATATGATTAAATGATACTCATGCAGCGCTGTTGGACCTGGTGACTACTGGAAATCCCTTTGATGGCCTTTCCTAACACTGGTTCAATGAAACAAAATGAGTTCAATGGTCCTTTGAGAGTGCTATGTAAGTTAAATTGACCATTTAAGTGAATATATCTATGGTGCAAATTTCTCTGTGAATTCTGGACCTGGAACCAGACTCTAGTAAGTCAGCATCATCACTCACAATTCAGTGTTATGAAGTAAAAGTACCTCTCATTATCCTTTAACACCAACAGTCAGGTATGACAGCGACAGACCCGCACCTCAGCAGCACGCGGCATCTGATGACATCAGATTGTCAGGTGCCACCACCACCGCCGCATCATCCATACTGACCTTATTTGTTGCTCTGCACACCTCTGATGCCCCCAGCACTGGCTGCCATGGTGCTCCTCCCATCCCTCCCAGTTCTCAAAGGAAACTTTCCTTTTGCTAGTCCCATCAGTGATACTTCGTGCCACAGAGATGCCTTTTCCAGCAGTAGTATCGTTAAAAGGATATCATCCATCAGGGTGCCAAAGCAAAACCAATTAGAGGAGGATTAATAAAAATGATTTACAATGTTTGAACCCTATCTGGGACTAGCAAAACATTTGATGAAAGAGAAAAGTAAGTACAGATTTCCAAGACTTCTGTTTATGATCAACTTAAGGTACTGGCAAAAGTGATTTTCTTTCTCTTGTTAAGAAAATGGACAGAAATGCCAATGGCAAACTCTGCTTTGCACAGCAGAATTGCTCTCTGTGCTTAGAACTCAGCTCAGATTGCCCCCATATCCAAGCTCGCTCGTTTGTGGTTAAAGCTCAGATGTCATCGAACTATTCAGTACTACACCACTTTCTCTGAAAAGCGGGATGAATTGCAATGAACTGTTTTTACATCTTACAAAGCCCTCTTTTTCCTTCAAAAAAATTTATTTCCACATTTTCATAAAACATCCTTTGTTGACATTCTGCAAACAACGCTATCCAATAAGGTGCTGATTTTTTCTTCCTGTGGAGTAACTTTGTACATCTGCAGAAAAGAAGAACAAGAAAAAGATAAAAGCTGTATAAGGAAGAAAAAAATTGATGACATATCTTCTAAAAATCTGTACACAAGAAAAGATTTCCCCCCTCCCCCACTTTTTACATTGCAAATTCCTATCGTATTGTGACTGCAAGACAAAATAGGGACTGAGGAACCAAGCAAATTCTGAAACTGCAAGGCATACAGGAAAGCTAAGAAACTGAATGACAGCAGCACTTTTAACTCCACAAGTTATAGGCTATGATTTCTCCAATTCTGTTCATATGTCTCCCATCATTACTTTGAAAGACATAATCAAGTTGATTTAAGTTACTTGAATTATATCACACAAAAAACACATATGCTTCAAGATACCTATCTACCATATGGTAATCTGTTAAGACCATGCATGCTCTAACACAGCTCCTGGCAGCTCATCAACACATTTTTATTTTAGCCGCCCATGCTGTGACTAAATAGTCACATGCTTAAGATTATGAAACTGTTCAGGACGGAAAATTTATTTTTCATTAAATGGATATTTGCCTGAGAAAACAGGAAGCAAAAGTGCCTGAATGGTAGGCAGCAATCTGGAATTTATTTTTATGTTCCAACTTCCTGACAATGTTAAGAATTTAAAGACTTAAAATCTGTGATGTCAGGGTTTGACACCTAGAACTTTTTTTCAAATATAAAAAATTTAAGAAAGAAACAGTCAAGGTTCACTTAAAACAAGTTTCCAGTTGTGCTAAAGAAATACAGACCCTACGTTAATTATGTTCATCGATATTCAATCAGACTGATACCTGTGAATGTAGTGAATGTAGCAGATGTAGATAAAAGTTATCACTTCAAGTCATCCGAATCATTGCACAACAGACTAATTAAAACCAAAGCAAGTTGGGAATAATCGGGATGGTTGTAAGGTGAGAGACTGCTAAATAATCCCCCATTAGACAGCTCAGCCTTGGGAGAGCAGATGTACGAAACTACAGAGATAAGGGGGATCCAAGATGACCGTAAGACTGGAACGAAGCAACCCTGAAGGACACGGTAGACATGATCTTGGAACTGAGTTTGTGCAGAAGCAAAGGTCAACCAGCAGACACTGTGATGAAGAGTATATGCCTTCATCTGAAGACCCCTGATGACCACCGACAGGCACCAACAGACATGTGCGAAGGACATTAACATATGCTAATGAGTTATCGGAAAAACTATGAATATGATAAGCATTTCTCAGAAATATAATGAATATGTATGTTAACATAGCACAAATACCTAGTAATTGTGTATTTTCGGCACGCACAATTGGCGGAGCTATCCCCTGTGTGTCCAGCGCTGCAATGAAGAATGCCTGCGTTCTAAAACTCCAAACTTAGAATCAGAGTCATAGAATGGTTTGGGTTGGAAGGGACCTTCAAGATAGAATGGTTTGGGTTGGAAGGGACCTTAAAGATCATCTGGTTCCAACCCCCTCGCCATGAGCAGGGACATCTTCCACTAGACCAGGTTGCTTAGAGCTCCATCCAACTTGGCCTTGAACTTCTTCAGAGCTTGTGCACAAATACCACACACAATTTAGCTCTGACCAATGAAGCAGTGAAACACTATACTTTCAGCAATGTGGGAAACACATTTATTGCTTTTCAGATATTAATAAATCCGCCAGTCGTGTCAAATGAAATGGTTGACTATAGCTTCTCCCCCCCCCAGCAAGTTCCATATCAGAAAATGAAAAGAATACAGCAGAAAAATAGCTGAAAACTTATTTTTAAAAAAATCAACGCCCCCCCTCCAAAAAGGCAGACAGCCTCTTTCTTCCATATGCACTGTGAAGAATCCAAAATGGTCAACTAAATCATCAAACCAGAGCCACACAGTTTCAGCTGAGCCACCCACTCAGATTTGCATGGTACAGGCTCAGCTCTTCCGTTGGCTTCAGAAGAACATAAAAGCATCTTAAGTTTTAGAGAGTGAATTATTTCGCCGCTTTCCAGTAACAAGACAACTAAACTATCCCTTTTCTCTACACCAGTCATCTCTTTTGGCTACGTACCTTTTTAATCTTGGCAGTGTCTGTTAGCTGGGGGAGTTCATCTAGAGGAACCTGTTGGCCTTCTACCTGAGACGTGAGATCTTCCAGATTTACAGTTTTTTCTCCATCCACAACCAGAACAATGAGTACTGCTGTGTCACTGTCTGAAATGCCAAACTTTTTAAATGCATCTGAAATCTAAGAAAAGGTGAAAAATATCAAAATATTGTTAGTCACTTTCTCACTACATATAAGCAGCCTTTTCAGTTACTGGGTCAAATAAACCAAGAGTATAAATTGACACACGTTTTACACTAATGGAATTCTAACAAACTACAGGAGATAACAGCATATTAGCATTATTAAAAATAACAGTAACTTCTATTAGTAGCCAGGTAAACAGTTAAGTGAATATTTATATTTAGTTTGGCTGCATGGATCTTAGGAAGCTTCTCTAGGAAAAAAAGACATTTGTTCAGTAAATCTTACATTGTTGTTTGGTGAAAGGCTGAAAATAATTTCTGCATAGAGAGATCTGGTCTTCATTTTGCCGATCTTGTGTAGATGAACTGCTTTGTTGGCCGCCACAAGAATTTGAAAAGTATCTACAATCTGTAAAACACAACAGAAGAAGTCAAAACAGAAATTTAACATACTATTTTGAACTCTTGAAAAAATCCTGACCACTAGATAGTCTAATTCTGCAGTCATAGAAGTGAGCAGAACAGTATTCTGCTAGATATCTTAGCAATTCTTGCTCTTACAGAGTCAATGCGATTATTTCCTGCGTGGGGTAATACTTCACATAAAAATAAAGATTACAGTCTCTCAGTCAGGTAACTGAAATCTTTTGAAAACGGAATTACATTACTAAATCTTCTGTCAGTAAATTGCCAGAACAGATTTTTTTTTTCCCCTTCCCTAACTCCTGCTTTGCTAATTCTACCAAAAAAAGACTAGATTCAGAAACCACTTATGGGTTTAAATGAGAACAAAGGCTCCAAATAGTAGATTTGGGTATATTGATTGGTCTTACATGAACTCACACAGCAGGCTTTTGTCTCCTTTGACACCTGCTAGCTAGAGGTTGCTCTAGAGAACAGCTTCTGCAGAAATCGATGTTCCTACTGAAGCAGGGTTCAAATACGTAGGAACGGTAACTTCTTGAGGAAGTTGTGGAAAGCAGCCACAAGCAGTCACGTGCCATGCAGGACTGCAGGCTAACAGACACAGGAACTTCTCTTTCACCGTAACAATTTCCTGACAGCCCTCTCCCGAGCAGAAAGACCCTGTCATTACATTAGCAGAAATTTTGATGGAAAGAACCCATTCGCCTAATTTACATGTAGCATATTTCATTTTATTTTTTATTCAAGCCTCAGATTACTCTAGAAGCATGAAGTATCTCAAAAGCATCTTGTTTATTAACATTTAAGCTAAAAGAGCTGTGTTGCCCATTAGTGAAGACATAGAGATGTAGATCTATCAAATGAGAAGTAGATCTAACACCCATTAACGATAATTTGAGTTGTGCGCATAAAAGTGTGGAACAAAACACTTCTGCTTGCTTGTGGAAGTAATTTTTTCTGTATTAAGTGCAAAGCCCTTAAAACAACAGGCATGTCTAAGGCCAGCTCTCTCAATCCAAAGTAGTCAAACCAATATAAACACAATTTTATTCTAAAAAGTGTGCTTGAGCTGACAACAATTGCATGTAGCAATCGGTACTACATTGTACAGACAGCACCCGGTTTAAACAGCTCCACCTAGCAGGATGTGAAGCGAACCAAGACGATGGCGTTTTGGCCGCGGCTGCTTCTTTCACGGAGATGAACCCCGACACTGTACCACAGTGTACAGCGTAACCACAGCGAAGCACGGGCACCGCGCAGCGCCTGTACAGCGGCACGCGTGACGGCGGCCACGAGTTCTCCACAGAGCCCCCACCGGGAAGGGTCTCCACAGACCTCCCACGGG